TCTGCCACCAGGGGCCACATGGAACACGTCCACCCCGGCCCTGCCAGCCTTGCCACAGGTCACATCTGCTCTGTTCATTCCCCTGACTCCCCGGCCCCGCCCCGCCCCGCCTCACTGGCAAAACCATGCCCGTGAAGCTGGAGAGAACCTCTCCTGAGCTCCATGAGAGCCATGTGTCACAGGAGGGAAGAGGAGGGAAGGGCACAGCTGACCCACTGAGGTCAGCTCTGCCGCCCGCTGCCTCCAGCCAGCTACTCTGTATCCGGGCAGCCCGCACCAGGGGAGCTGAGTGCCCCCAGCCCAGACCTCCACAGGCAGCTGGACGGTGCACCCCACCCGCCCACCGAGCACCAGGCAGAACCCGCAGCCGGCAGGACGCCTCCTCCAGAGAGAGCGGCTTCCGGCACCCGAGGGCCACCAGCAGCTGGGGTCCCTCCCACTGAGCAGCCCAGGAGGACAGCGCCCACCCACCACCTCACGGCCTCTCCCCCTTAGTGACCACAAACCCGGCTCAGGGAGGCGACCCAGCTTGTCCAGGGTCCCCCCAAAGTTCAGGGGCAGGACTGGGACTGGACTCCTGAGTTCCCAGTGCCACCCCAGCCCTGGGACAGAAGGTAGGTCACCTAGAACCTACTGCACACTCCAGTAGCTGTGTGGCTCCTGGGAGAGGGCTCCTCTGTGTCACACACATGCACACATGCGTGCACATGCTCACGCGCGTGCACACACACACACGCAGGCTCCCGTGGAGTTGAGGAGTCAGGGAGGCTGTGGGTCTGGCCCATCCTTCTCGGTCCTGAGAGTACCCAATACTCCGAGGGGACCCTGAAGCTGCCAGCAGTGTGACGGGGGCAGGTGATGGCAGGACCCCAGCTCCAGGCTCTGGCTGCTCAGCCTCTACTGCAGCCAGCCCACCTGCCCTCCCTGGAAACCCGGGCTCTTCCCTTTGCCAGCCACGCCCTCCAGGCCTCCTTAGGTTTCTGTCCCTTTAGCCCCTGACTTTCTCCAGCAGGAGGCCTCCCTGGCCAGCTCCCAGGGCCTCCTCCCAGGGCCCCCTCCAGGGCCTCCCCCCAGGGCCTCCCCCTCATGGTTCTTACGGAACAAGGGAACTGGTTGCCAACTACCTCCCACAGGAGGGAACCCACAGGAGGTAGGTCTGCCTCCTCAGGCCCAGGACCCCCCCACCGCCCGCCCCCCAGGGTCCAGATGGGCACCTGGCCCTCAGTAGCCACTGGACAAATGAACCACCAAGTTCATTCCCACCCCCAGGCCTCAGGTCTCTCAAGGGCAAGGCCTTCGTGCTTCCTCCACGTGGCGGAGGCCCGGCACCCAGGAAGTGTTGGGAAAGGACACGGCACCCTCCAACCAGGGGCTTGGAGCAAACCCAGGCTCAGAAACATGGGTCCTCCCTGCATCCCCACCTGCGGAAGCCCCCTGCCTCCAGTTCAAAAGCCACCTTCCGCAGGAAGCCCTCCTGGATCTCACCAGGCTCTTCTCAGAGCAGGTTTAGGTCCCCAACCCACTGCCTGGGGCCAGGTCTGGTCCTTCCTGGGGCCCCTCTCCTGCTGGGTCTGGTGACGGGAAGGTGTGGAGGGTGGTCAACTCCGACCCTCCAGGCACCAGGAGCTCGAGTCTGTAAAGTCCTTGCTGGAAGCCGCACAGGCCAGGAGCTCAGAGTGGCCAGACCACTGGGAGGCGGCCAGCCATGCCCGCCCCAGGCCTGAGCGGCCCCAGGCAGCAGGATGTAGCCTGGAGGCAGTGGCCCGGGTGGCCCGAGGGCTGGTGGCTGGTTGTGGAAGGGCCCCTCTGGAGCACAGAGCTCCCCTGGAGGATGTCGGTAACCCACCCCCACCACCCTCTGGCCCCCCATGGTTCTGGACAAGGCCACTTGGGAAGGACGGTCCCTGCAGCAAATTACCAGAGTGTGGTCTCCATTCCTGCAGCAGTCACTGGGATAGGCACTGGGCTCAGACGAGCTGCGTGACACCCTACAATCACCTCTGGTGGAGGCACACTGCACTCCCATTTTTCAGAGAAGAAGCTAAGCACAGAGAGGTGAGGTGACTCACCCACGGTCCCACAGCCCATAAGAGGTGAGGCTGAGATTCGAACTCAGGCAGTTTGGTGCTGAAGCCACGTTCTGAATCTACGCAGAATCAACTTAGAAGACAAGCGGCTTTGTAGGGAGAGTGGGGTTGTAAACCCCAGGCCAAGAGATCCAGTCCTGACTCCTGCCAGGCACGAGCCTCCTCTCACCCCCAGGGCTCCACCACACCCAGCCCTCCAGAGACCCTCCTAGAAGACCCCCCCAGATCTTCCTGCCCAACCAGACTTTCAGGGCCTGGGCTCCCCGTTTCTCCTGGTCCTTGGTGGTGAGAAGGTCTCATCCCTGGGGGCCCATGAGGCCTTGTCTGGGACCCCACAGGCCACAGGAGGGCCTCCAGCCCCAGAGGGGCACCATGTGGCATCAGCCAGGGCCGTCCAGGGCTGCCCTGGTCACTGTGTCCACAGCAGCTGTCCCACACACAAGGCCCACGAGCCCAGGTGACCCTCAGCCACTCTGCCTGGGAGTTCCAGGGAGCCTCCCTGGTGACGCCACACTTGAAAACACATGTGGTCTCTCCCCTCATGGAGACCACCTGCCTCACCGTCCGCCCACCTGCAGGGCAGACGCCAGTCAATCCTCACAGGGCCCAGGGTGGATTCTGGAGCCTTCAGTCAGGATCACAGAGACTGCTCAGAAACAGTCTTACCTTCACCATCAGCACCATTGTCAGCATCATCACCATCATCGTCACCACCATCACCATCACCACCATCATCACCATCACCATCACCACCATCATCACCATCATCACCATCACCATCACCATCATAATCACCATCATCACCATCATCACCATCACCATCACCACCATCATCACCATCACCATCATCACCATCATCACCATCACCACCATCACCACCATCATCACCATCACCACCATCACCATCATCATCACCATCACCATCACCATCATCACCATCACCATCATCACCATCATCATCACCATCATCACCATCATCATCACCACCATCATCACCATCACCATCACCACCATCATCACCATCACCATCATCATCATCACCACCATCATCACCATCACCACCATCATCACCATCACCATCACCACCATCATCACCATCACCATCACCACCATCATCATCACCATCATCACCACCATCACCACCATCATCATCACCATCATCACCACCATCATCACCATCACCACCATCACCACTATCACCATCACCACCATCACCACCATCATCACCATCATCACCACCATCACCACCATCATCACCATCACCATCACCACCATCATCACCATCACCATCACCACCATCATCATCACCATCATCACCACCATCACCATCACCATCATCACCACCATCATCACCATCACCACCATCACCACTATCACCATCACCACCATCACCACCATCATCACCATCACCACCATCACCATCATCATCACCATCACCATCATCATCACCATCACCACCATCACCATCACCACCATCATCATCATCATCACCATCATCACCATCACCATCATCACCATCACCATCACCACCATCACCATCATCATCATCACCATCATCATCATCACCACCATCACCACCATCATCACCATCATCACCATCACCATCATCACCATCACCATCATCACCATCATCACCATCACCATCACCATCATCACCACCATCATCACCATCATCACCATCACCATCACCATCATCACCATTACCAGCACCACCAGCACCATCACCACCATCACTATCACCATCATCACCATCACCATCACCACCATCACCATCACCATCATCACCATCACCATTATCACCATCACCACCATCACCACCATCACCATCATCACCACCATCACCATCACCATCACCACCATCATCACCATCACCACCATCGTCACCATCACCACCATCACCACCATCACCATCATCACCACCATCACCATCACCATCATCACCATCATCACCATCATCACATCACCACCATCACCACCATTGTCACCATCATCACCATCGTCACCATCACCACCATCAGCATCACCACCATGGTCACCATCACCACCATCATCATCACCACCACCACCACCATCATCACCATCACCACCATCACCCCCATCACTGCTGTCACCACCATCATCACCATAGTCACCATCACCACCATCACTGCTATCACCACCATTGTAACCATCACCACCATCATCACATTCACCATCGTCCCCAGCATCACCAGCACCATCAACCACCTAACCGTCTGCACCTGGACCATGACTATGGTTCCCGCCTCACCATCTCCATCGTCACCATGACAACCATCGCCATCCCATCACCAGGGTTTCAGTGAACACACTGACCATCACACAGGACGGTCAGGACCGTCTCTCACCTTGACTACCACCTGGCCGGGTGAGCTCAGAGCGGAGCCCACATGGGCCGGTTTTGTAAACAGCTGCCCTCCCTGCGCAGTACACCAGGCTTCTGGCCACCAGGAAGACTCCGACTGCGCTCCTCCTGTCTGCGCCTTTGTGCGGGAGACCCGGGGAGAAAGACTCCAGGGCTGTGAGCCCGCGGTTGAAAGCAGGCCTCTGGAGACAGACTGCTTGGGCTTCATCCAGTCTGCCTCTTCCTAGCTGTGTGACCTCGGGCAAGGCCCCTACCCTCTCTGTGCCTCAGTTTCCCTGTTTATGAAGTGGAGATGATAGCAACATGCTGTCCTGTGAGACAATATATAGCACACAGGGTAGAGCTGATGTCACCCTTCCAGGTTACATGTGGGGAAAACGAGGCCCAAGGGTGGCAGGAACCTACCTAGGGTCACACAGGGTGAAGGGAAGAGATTCAGAGCTCCCTGTGGCTCCCACCCCCACGTCCCGGCTCTCAGCCTCAGCTCCGGGCTCCCAGCACCCCGAGGCCGGGGTGCTGGGCGCACTCACCATGGGGAGCCATAGATCCGGAAGCCCCGCACGGTGACCTCGGCATCCTGCAGGTAGATGCAGTTGGTCAGCAGCGACTGCACGTTCTCGTAGTTCTCGGGCTTCAGCTTGGACACAGACGGGAAGTAGTAGAAGTCCTGTTTGATGAGGTCGGCCATGAACTCCTGGTCGAAGGTGAGCTCGTGGTTGCCGGCCACCACCACCTTGTACTCGTAGGGCAGGCTGCCTGCGGGGGACACAGCCACACGCTGGAGGCAGGGAGGCTGGGGAGCTGCCAGAGTCCCCACCACGGGTCCCAGACCACGGGTCCCCAAAAGAAGGGCAGTCACCCTGGCGCTGTCCCCAGGGCCCTGCCTGCCAGGCCTCAGCTAGCCGTCAGCTCGAGACCTGGTGAGCGCTGAGCAGCTCCCCCGGCCTCTGAGCGGAGGACGCCTGGCCTCGTCCTGGGGACTGCTCTGCCTCCGTGTCTTGGCTCCCACTGGAAGGCGACCGGTACCCTGTGCTCTAGCCCCAGCTGTCACCAGCTTCCCCGTCCCAGGTTCCCACCCCCTGGAGTCTCGCGTCCCGGCCTCCACGTCCCAGCAAGACCAAACCTGGAGTCTCGCGTCCCGGCCTCCACGTCCCAGCAAGACCAAACCTGGAGTCTCGCGTCCCGGCCTCCACGTCCCAGCAAGACCAAACCCAGTTCAACCTCCGGACTCGTGCCCAGGGACAGGGACAGGTCCACCTGCCCCCAACGAGCCCTTTGACTCCAGACCAAGACGAAACGTCCCTGAAGACCACGCCTTCAACTAGCAGCGGAGCTCGCTCTGCCCTGGGCAGAGCCCTGGGCGGCTCTTCAGGGGTGCTTCCCCGTCCTCCTCTGAGGCCCCCAAGGAGGGGAGCACAGCCTCAGGGTGCCTGGGCCGTGGACAGCCCCCACACCAGGCTGGCCCTGACAGCCCAGCTCCCCCAGGCTGGTAGCCTCGGGAGGCACCCCTGCCCCGCCCACCCGAGCCACCTGCCCCACCTGGGCCCTCACCGCCCCGGCCTCGGCGGCTGGGTTCCCACCCGCGTGGAGGGAGCGGCAGTGGACCTGGGCTTGGATAAAAGTGAAGCGGATGGTGACACGGAGGTCCAGCTCCTCCCTGCAGCCCCTGGGGTGGGCCAGGAAGGGCGTGAGGACAGGGAGGGCCGGATCCCAGACCATCTCACCCAGAAGTGACCTGCGGTTGGACAGAACACCTGGACGACTCGCACTCTGGTTCTGGTAGGGACACCATGCTTCACTGCCACATTTGGCCCTGTGAGCAAGGCCCTTCTGTCCCCAGAACTTGCCTGGACTATGTATCACTTGTATGCATTGTGAACTATCTGTTGGTGCAGCGACTTGTGGTAGTGTTGGGGTATTTTTGCTGATGGTGTCATCGGTGGTACAATTTTTCCAAAAGGAGCTGTCAATAGGCTTGGTGTATCCTCCTCCCTTCTGCTTGTGATGGTCGTTCAGCTAAAATTTGGAGGCCAACAGAGGTGAGGCAAAGAACCTCACCCCCCCGCTGGTACAAAGGCCTATCCACAGGTGTGGCTGCATGCTGGACCGGTCAATGACGAGTAAGATCCAATTGCAATGGTACCAACCTAAGACAGGAGGCTGACGCCTTGAGGTCAGCTCATCCAATGACCGGTAAGGACCATATGTAGTATTGGACAACCTAAGGCAGGCACGGTCCCTAAGCCACATGCTTGTTGTTTAAACAGAGAGGGGGAGATGTTGAGAGCCACAGCCGAAGGGGCCCCAGCAAACTTCCAGCTGCCAACTGATTGGCTCCTCTGCGGTGATGCTCATTGGGCTGTTTTCCCGCCCTTTCAGACCACGGAGCTGCTCATTGGGGGACTTTTTTGGCTCCGCCCATGCGACCCAGCCAATCGGCCTCAAGAGCAGGAGGAGTGGGGGTTGAGAGGCTTGTGGGAAGCTGGTGGTGGCAGTTGGGCTCTGAGGGTTTTCCTGAGGAGCTGTGTGGTGCGGTGTGTGTGTTCTAAAAATAAAGTTCGTTTCTTTTGACAAGTGGCTCCTGAATTGTGCCCAGCCAGACTGCGGCATTACTGTCTCCAATGCTTCAGTATCAACAAGAGGCCAGACCTGCCCCAGAAGGTTCCCAGAGTGTACAAACGTGAACCCCACCACATGCCAGGCACTGGCCAGGCTCTGGCTCTTCGCTGTGGTGTGGATAGGAAGCGGAGGTCGAAGGCTGGAGCGGTGGTGGAGGCTCGGAGGCTGGAGCGGTGGTGGAGGCACAGGGAGGAGCCGGCAGCTGCCCTCTGAGGTGCTGCTGAGCGCTTCCTCCCGCTCAGCCCATCCTGAGCCCTGAGGGCTGGCTCCCTCCTGGAGGAGCAGGGCCCACTGAAGGCTCCGGGGGGTCCTCGGGCCCCTCAGGAAGGCCACCTGAGCCGCTGCAGAGCCACACTTCACAGCGTGTCCTCTGCGTTCCTGGGCGGCTGTGACCTCCACAAAACCCGCTGATCTGAGTTCAGTCCCGACTCCCTCTCAACTGGGAAGTCACTTAACCTCTCTGAACACGGACTTCCCCTGCCATACGGTGGGTGTGCTGGTGACCCCCCCCCCAGGCTAAGGACCTCCCCTGGCCCCCAGGACCCCCCAGTGCCTCCCCTGAGGCTCCCTTCACCCACCCCTCCCAGGAGCAGCAGGCGGTGACCGGCACCTCAGCTGTCTCCTGGGGGAACCCAGCAGTCCAGGGGCCCTAGAGGCTCTGCTGCCCTTGACCGTGAACACACGGTCACACAGCTCTCTGCCATGTGACCGTCCCTCAAGAACAGATCCCAGGAGCCTCTGCTCTGATTCCTGGGGACGGTCAGTCCTCCTGGAGACTGAGGCCCCGGTCCAGTGCCTGATTCAAAGACGTGCAGTGAGACTTGGTCAGCGTCAGTGTCCTAGGAAGAAGCCCAGGAAGGGCAGGTGAGGCTTCCTGCCCTAGGGGCCACGGCCACTGCTGGTCTCTACGGCAACAAAACGGAAGAGTCCAGAAGCCAGTTACAAACTTCACACCCGCCCAGTTGGGACCCGGCAATCTGTCCAGCCACGTGGCCTAGAGCCAGGGGACTCAGCTGCTGGAGACATCCTGATGCCCAGCAGGGGACAAGAGGCAAGCGGCTACAAAACAGGCAGAGGCCACTGAACACTCACTGACCGTCACCCCAGACTTCTCTGCAGACTGATGCTCGTCACTCTGGGGGGCCGAGAGGAGGGGACGGGCCACGGGCTCCTGGGTCCCAGACCCAGCTCTGCCACTGCTGCTTGGCCACCTTGGCCCTGGGCGTTGGTTCCTCTGTAACTGGGAGCAGTGATGCCTGCCCACGGGGCACCCCCGGTGATGGAGAAGACGCCAAGCGGAATCGCACACACCTTCATGTTCAGCACGGCCCGACCGTGACGGGGCCAGAAGCCCCGGGCCAGACCTGCCTGGCACACATTCTGTTGGCCACAATGTCCGCTTGGTAACTGAATTTGTCGCCAGCATTAAAACTTTGAGAGATTCCCAATAAAACCTCATTCTGTTTGTCTAAAATCAACTAAATAAAATTCAACATCGGGCGATGCTGGCCATTCAGGGAGTGCCGCATCCGCCACCCCCAGCCTTAGACGGATACAAACATCCAGTTGGCCCCAGTCCCTACCTGTCCCTACTACCCACACTGAGTCTGTTGAACTCACTTCAAGGTGCTGCCCCCCTCCAGTGGGTTTCTGGCCCCTGCCACAGTCCTTGGAGACAGGAGGGGACAGAACTGGCCCAGGGTGCTTCCCAGCAGGAAGGGGGACGGGCCATCCTCACCCCCGCTTGTGAGGGCCACTGTCCTCAGCTGCAGAGTGGATGTAGTAGAACAGCCAGGCAGGTTCTGAGGGGAGGTCTCCGGCCTCCAGCAGGCCGGCTGCCCCGCGACAGGCCCCGCTGCCTGAGCCCACACAGACCGTCCCTCCCCTCCAGCGGCCACCTCGTGGAGCTTCACGGTGGTGCTGCTGGTGGCTTCATTCACCAGCTGGGACCTGCTGGGGACAGTGGGTGACGCAGACACACCTGTTCCCATGCCATGGAGCTCTCCTGCTGGGGGTGCAGCCGGCTGCTCAGCACCTGGCCAGGCCCGAGGACAGTGGCCAGAGGCCAGGAAACCCACCCGGGCCCATGGGGTGCAGTGGCTCAGTGTGACACTGGACATGGGTCCAGCTCCCCCACACCCGGGGGTCAGCAACTGAGAGGCCACCAGACCACAGAGTCAGCCTGGGGACACACTGCGGCCAGGAGGCAGGAGCAGCCCCTGGCTGGGGTGGACGGAGTGGCCGCCGCCCACTGCCTCCAGCTGCTCCACCCGTTTCCACCTCACATCACCCATCCAGCCCCCCCAGCCCCACCCCACGGGGGCCAGAGCCCCACTAATGTACTTATGTCACGTCTCTGACTGGGGGTGTTACTTGAGCAATTAGCAGATTACTCCAACTTACGGCTCCATTTATTCCTGGCTCCTGGGGCCGGGGTGTGCGGGGAGCTGTCAGGTCCCCAGCTCCTCCCGCCTTGGAAGAGGAGAAGGAGGCTTCCCCAACCCACCGAGAGGAGAGGGCGGGGGACAAGGCCAGGCAGGGTGGGGACATGCACCAAGCCAGGCACCAGCAGGAGCTGAGATTTCCTGGCGACAGCATCAAACCCTGCCTGGTCTCTCCAACAAGGTGGACACCAAGGCTTGGAGGCACAGGGACGTCCAACAGGAACATGGAAGCCTCCGGCACCAGCTCCCTGAGCTGAGACTAGCCACAAGTCCATCTGTCTGGGATTCACTCGAACTTGGTAACTCACCACCTGCACGTGACCTCTGCAGACACTCAAGGATTACTGTCCCCATTTTACACCTTGAGAAAGGTTGCCTAAGGTCACATGGATCAATAACAAAGTGATCGGCAGTCACGAAGGGTGATGGTCACTGGACAGACCCTGTGGCAGCATCTGAGGTGCCCTCTGAAACATCACGCCACCCTGCTTCTCAGTGGATGGAAGGATGGATGAATAGGTGGGTGGCTGGGTGGCTAGATGGGTGGGTGGGTGGGTGGAAGAATAGGTGGCTGGGTGGGTGGCTGGATGAGTGGCTGGGTGGCTGGGTGGCTGGCTGGATGGCTAGGTAGGTGGCTGAGTGGCTGGGTGGCTGGGTGGGTGGCTGGATGAGTGGCTGGGTGGCTGGGTGGGT